TAATAACGTAGTTACTGTAACGCGTTACTTAATAACGCGTTAGTCCCAACACTGAGCTCCACACATGAAATTTACTGAAATATAAACTTGATTAGTTTATATTGTGCGTATGGTTAATTGTCTCTCTTTGTTAGCCCTGCGAGAGGGTGCCGATCTGGGTGTACCCCGCCTCTCAAGCCATGGTAGGTTTAATTATTATAGCATAATTTATATCTCATAGAAAGCTGACATCATTAAGTGAGGATTTTAGGGAAAATAAAGATGTCAAGATTCACAAATCAAGGAAGAAATAAATCCTTTGAGTTTAGTTTTACCACAGAAAATGATTCAACTGATTATATTAAAAATAGTTTATTTAATTGTGTTATTTCTAAACTAAATTCTAAATTTTAGAAAAATCATCAGCATAGCTGAGGAATAACAAGGGTCCAAGAATGGAGTCTTGTGGAACTCCACAGAGTAATCTGACTTTGCTGAAACAGCAGCTCAAGACACATAAAAACTGACTTCTGTTGAACTTTAACTATTTTTACATAATAAAGCAAAAATATATTCATTCAACTTTTCTAATAAAATAAGATGATCATCAAAAGCTTTAGTATGAACATACTAATGGTATACTTGTTATTTTTAAGTGCAGAGATAATTGTGTTATTTAGGTGATGCAATGCACGGACTGTTTACAGAAACCAGAAAGTGGTGTTTGTAAAAAACAGAATCAGAATTTAAGTTATAAAAAAATATTTCATATGATAACCTCTTCTAATATTTTTGGAAACCATGGCAAAATATAAATGTGTCTATATTTATTAAAACAGTGTGGATCATTTGCTTCAAACGGAGTCTGTCATGGCTGTGTGACAATGACCCAGGGTCAAATGACCCAGGACCATGACAGAGTAAGTAATCAGACTTGTTTTCAAAGGCAAAGTAAAAATGGTAGAGAGCGCTGCAGACCTTTATTCTCTTTCTAATCTTTGAGTAAACAATAAGAAAACACAAACACTCAGTGTAAAGCTAAGAAATGTTTGAAATGTTTTACAAGGCGCCCATGGAGTTCCTGAGAACTCCAGAAACCTGATTTAAACACAAGTAAACCCTCTCTCACTAAACAAGGGTTCACCTGATACGTGGCTGGATTGTAACAAAACCATGTGATTAAATTCAGGCTGAAGTTATGTAAAAGGAAACATTTACTAACAGATCACCGATCCTGTTATGAAAGGGTAATTAGTTCACACGAGCCTCGTACATTCTTCAGGCTGAATAGAATAGTTCAAATATTTTAACCAACTAATTTAAAGACAGTGGCTGCAGGCGTCACAGACCGTGATCTAACTCAGTTCAAAAACTGCAGCTAGAGGTGGTGGGAGTGTGGATACATTCAAATTCTGATCTCCTTTGGTCCGACCTTTCTCACCCAGTCTCCATCCCATACATGTATAGAGAGATAAAAACAACCTCCAAAACAAATAAATACTGCACTTTAGTTCAGTTTATTCTGTTTGTGAGGCACAAAGTACAGATTCATGCTGACTGCTGAAAATCAAACAGCATTTAGTTTCTTCACAAGGTTAAATCACCATAAATGGAAACTTTATCAAACCTCTGATCAGCAGCCTGCTGGAGAGGATTTAAGTGAGGGGGAAGAGACAAATACACAAAAAGAGGTGGAAAGATCTGAGGTGAAGACCACGCTCTGTCAGAAATACTGAGACGACTGAAGTGGTGGAAGGTAAGAAGCTTCACTGCTCCTGATGTGCTGACAGGGAGGGAAAAGGCTGAGTAATTAAAAGGTTTTTAGCTCAGAAGAAGCACTGTGCATGTACCCCAGTATGTGCAGTCTGCACAGCAGAACTTACTGCACGCCTAAATGTCCTCATGAAAGATACTGAAATCATTGCTCTGATACATCCATGAGGGTGGAGCGATTCTTAAGTGATTGAGGTTGAAAAAGTGCTTTGAATGCTTATTGAAATTAAATTCATACTTTTGAATCTGAAATACCGAATCATTCAGTGCCAGTTTAGCGGAATTTTCAACCCCTTTGGCTACTTTGTTCTTGAAAAAACCTGAACCTTTAGATTAGAGGAAGTCACTATCTTGCTAACTGTCATGAGATGATTTGGTTTTCCTTTCTCTTAATTCAATTTGTTTTTGTTGTTGTTGTGGGATTTATGGCATCTTTAGTGCACATGGTGCAGTTGGAAATATTTGGGGGTCAACGCACTTCAAGAATTATTTTGAAATCTTAATGAACGTTTCCTGACATGCAAAGAGTTAGGATAATTAAAAAAGTGTCTCTGACAGGTGCCCACATAAACCATGTTAATGTGCTGTGGGTGTTTTAGGATGTGGAGGCTCGTGCTGACTCTCACTCTATTCTGTTGGGGATCTGAAGGCCAGCTGCAGCCAGTGACCTGCAGAGATAACAATGGTGCTGAAGTGGACTGGTAATGTCTTTAAAAACATACTTTACACATCTGTAATGAACTCATTTGGCCTCATTCTCATCACATACTGCGTATTAACATCATCCACTGGGCTTCATGAAGTGACACCAGGGCCGTGCAGAGAGGTTTAAAGGGGCAGGTGCTCAAAGTTAAAAAGGGGCACATTGAACCAGGCTGAATAACAACAACACACATTCATCAAGAATCTAATATGGGAAGGGCAGGGCTGTGTTGATCTGAGACTGTAGACATTATAAAGTCCATAGGAGAGATGGTAGCTGATTAAACAAG